CCCCACCCCTTTTCGGACTGTGCTGAAACAACGTAATGTAGAGGCAGTATTTCAGAGACACATTCTTATTATTAAATTATTACTATTGGACTCAGAAGGTATGCACTTTGCAGGTAAGGCCGGCATGACTAGATTTCTTAACCATATTCAGACCCTGTTCTGAAAATTCGTAGCACACGCGAGTAAAGAGGTGAAATCTCCAATTTCGGCGTCTATTTGCGATAAGTAGGTCCAGTTTGAATTGACAATCACCGTCTACAGTAATGAACCAGCATGCCAAATGACGTAAAATAGATGCAGGTTTCCGGAATGAACAGATTCGATGCCTCTTCCGGAGAAGCAATAGGATGGGATCGGGTGGGGTAGGGGTAGAGTGGGGAGAGGTTTTAACCTTGTTAAGCAAACACGGGCGTTATCTGCAAACAAAATGACACAAGGCTGAAAACAAATCAGCATAAATGCTACAATGACCGTTTTATAATCTCCATAAAAATCCAATCCAACTTCTCATCAAAGGATTAATGAACATCACTTCTAAGTGTTTCAAATCTTAACGAAAAACAAACACCAGCCTCTGGTTCACCACTCGTATTCACCTAGCTATGAAATAGTTCCGATGCAGGCGCAAAGGCGGAAAATAAGGAAAATTGCTGCGGAGAAATTTACGTCAAAGTTTGTGAGCAAATTGAGCAGCTGAACACAGAACTAATGAAAGGCAGCACTTTATCTAATCAGTGCCAGCCAAGTGTGCATGCGGTGTGCGTGAAATTTGCGCGCTGCACAGCACGTAATTGATTAGTGCCCGAAAGACGTTTGTTTTCGGAACACCACTATCCACTTTTATCCCCCAATCCCACTTTGGTGATCTAATAGTCCTCTCATTTGTCGGTATAATAAGCTTGTCAATGGTTAGGACATTTTTAGCACTTACTTTCTCCCCTCAAAATGAGTAAGCTGTCTTCCTTATGGCTCAACGAACCGAATGGGTTTGGAGGAAAAGAAAAGACAAGGGAACTCGATTATTTGTGGGGTAGCGTGATGGAATCAGGCTTTCGTCAAAATAATCAAAGTGAAGAAACCTGCATTTTTCCGCAGGTTTGTGAATTTTTATCAAATTTTTGTTTTTTGGCTCAACACCTTTCATGCCCATTAAAGAACTCATTTCGGTGTGGATTTTTCTGAAAAACGTTGATTAAAGGTACAAAAATGTAAATTTTCAGTTACCACAGGCTTTTAAGCAAAGGAAATAACTAATCTATTCGGACATTTCCTCATTAATTTTACCTCTGAAAACAGGTGAACCCCACCTCCTTCAATTGCAAACATCTCGACTTGTATTCAATATAAATGGATACTTTCTTCATTAAAAAAAAGACAGGTGAACAA